TCACTCAACCTTCTTTTCCACCTAGCAAATGGCAGGAAATGGGAGGTTGGTCAGTCCTGGATGCTGAGTGAAGACGTTTGTTGGATCTCACCAGTCAACATTTATACAGAAATGCTGTTTTTACATGGCTCAAGCATGTAAGTAACAGTGAGTTTCACCGAGGCCACCCCCCCCACCCCCCGCGCCGCCATTTTTAAAAATTTCTCCTTAAAAAAAACAATAGGGGCTGGGGATTTAGCTCAGCGGTTTCACTGCTTGCTGCGCAAGCACAAGGACCCAAGTTCGATCCCTAGCATCAAAAAAAAAACCAAAAACCAAAAAAACAATAGGGCTGGGGATTTAGGTCAGTGGTGTTGTGCCTGCCTCACAAACACAAGGTCCTGAGTTCCATCCCTGGGTCCAAAACAACAGTGTTTTCTCATTAGCTCATTGGTAACACAGAGTTGGCTCTTAATTTTAGTATATGTGCTGCCAAAGTGAGCACCTGAGTTGGCTCTTAAGTAGAGCAGTTCAAGGCATGTATTTGTAGATAGGACTAACTTCTAGTGTTGTGAAAAATTTCATGTCCCCTAAAGAAGGTCTTAGGTTTATTGGAGCAAAAATCCTGATTTACCCTGCCTTTCCTACGTGGTGCAGGTTTTCCCTCCACCCACATGGCCTGGACTTTTCCCAAGAATTCCCACTCTTGCTGACCCTGAGTCTTTCCCTTTCTAACTCCCAACCAGCCTGCCCACAGATTCATCTTCAGGCAGAGTTCCACCTGCTCAGGAGGTGGTTCAGGCCTTGGCAGGTGGCCTCAGCAGCTGCTCAGCCAGACTGCCTGCTGGCAGCCTCCCAGCTTGCACTGTGCTTTCCCTTCCAATCTGCCATCCTTATATTTAGTCCTTTCTTCCCAGAAGGCTTCTCCCTCCCCTCACTGTTCCCCAATTTTCTATTCTATTCTGTTTTGGTTTTTTTTTTTTGGTACCAGGGATTAAATTTAGGACCTTGGGATTGTGAGGCAGGTGGGAGAACCACTGAGCTAAATCCCCAGCCCTAATTTTCTATTCTTTAAAACTCTTATTCCATGCAGGTCTAGAACCTGAGAGAGTATGGAGACCTGGTGGGTGGTAGGTAGCCTTGCCTCCCGGCAGAGGAGCTCTATGTAAATGGAGAGTGCCCAATTAGGTTGGGATGTGAGAAGGTGGGCTGTGGTATAGAGGCTGACAAGAGTCTGCTGGGCACCCTTCAAAACTTTGTTTACCTTGGGTTGGGTGTAACCCACAAGAGCCAGAATACAAGAAAAAAAGTATAGCCAGGCATGGTGCCACATTCCTATAATCTCAGCACTCGGGAGGATGAGGCAGGAGGATTGCTGTGAGTTTGAGGCCAGCCTGTGCTACATAGTAAGTTCAAGGCCAGCCAGGATTACATAGCAAGACCCTGTCTCAACAAAGGAAGGCAATACAGCGTGACAGGCTTCCCCAGCTCTGGAGGTGGACAGGGCTGAAGGTTCTTTCTGGGGCCCTCACAGTGTTCAGGCATCAAGGGCTAGAGCTTTGAGTATCGTAGGGGTCAGGATCTAGGGCATTGTCCTGAGTCTGCCTGACAGCCAGTGACCAGCTCAGTGCCCTAGGATTCAGCTGTTGAGCTGGGTACCGATCCACCCTAGAGAGACAAAGCTGCCCAGGACTTGAAGAACAAGCCTCTTCTTTGACCTGAGCACTCAGTGTATTCTGGATTAGGTCGTTCTTTAGATCTATATTGTTCTTTTCATAGCTTCAGAAGAGAAATATTGCTTCCCTCCTCCCCGAATCTGATAAAGGACTGTTATCCAGAGTATACGAAGAACTTATAACTCTGTAGTAAGAAAACAGGATCACTGAGAAGAGTAGAACATGCTGGAAGTCAGTGAGGCGGAGCTGGGATTTTGTGGATCAAGATCCTAGCACCAAAGCTGGATCTGGAAGAGATGAAACAGAAGATACATAGAGATATGATCTCCATACGGAACTTCCTCATATAGGAGGCCTTCCTTTAGTTTTGAAGAAAGTGGGCAGTTGTGGCACTTGGGAGGCTGAGGCAGGGGAATCTTGAGTTCAACGACAGCCTGGGCTACATAGACCCTGTCTCAAAAAACGAAGAAAACAAAAAGAAAAAAATAAATGGACAGCACATGAAGATTGGGCATCACGTGTGAGTGCACCATATGAAGAACTCACTTAACAGTTTTTCCTACTGTCTGCAAATAAATAGACCCAGAAAGATATAAGAGATTCTTTAACTGAATGAGCATAAAAAATTTTGCTTATTAAAAACAAATTTAGGGGCCGGGGATTTAGCTCAGTGTTTCCACCGCCTGGCTCACAAGTGCAAGGTCCTGAGGTACAAAAACAAAAACACACAAAAACTCCCAAATTTAGGCCTGTAACCCCAGCATTTAGGAGGCTGAGGCAAGAAGGTTATTGCACGTTCAAGACCAGCCAGCACTACATAGTGAGTTCAAGGCCAGCCTGAACTACATGTGGAGATTATGCCTCCAAAAAAAAAACAACACGAATTTAGGGTCCAGGGATGTAGCTCAGTGGCTCCGTGCTTGCCTGGCAAGTGCAAGGTCCTGAGTTCGATTCCCCATACCAGGAGAAAAACTTGGCTGTGGTGACTGACCTTCATAACTAAAATATAAAACTTTTTGGGAAGTATGAAAAGACGTGGTTATAGTGCACCCTTGTGCCTGTGATGTTTGTCCTCTATGAATGTTGATATAATTGTAAATTGTATCAAATTCCATTTTTTTTCTTTCCTTTTTCCCCCCTAATATTGGAGATTGAACCCAGGGTCTTTGTACTGTGCTGCATCCCAGCCCTTTTTAAATTTTTTTATTATAAGACAGGGTCTTGATAAGTTGCCCAGGCTCAGTTTGAACTTGGCAGTCCTCCTGCCTCAGCCTCCCAAAATGCCAGGATTACAGGTGTGTGCCACTATATTTGGCTTCAGTTTTTTGTTGTTGCAGTTGATTTGTTTGTTTGTTTTGGAGACAGGATCTCACTGTGTAGTCTAGACTTGAGAGCTGCAGTCCCTTGAACTCACTATGTAGCCCAGGCTGGCCTCACTCACGGCACTTCTGCCTCAGCCTCCTGAGTGCTGGGATTATAGGAGTGTACCACCACACCCAGCTTAATTATAAGGAAATAATGTGGAGGCAGATGATGAGAAACAGGAGCAAAACTAAAAACAAACACAACTTAAACAGCTACCTCACAAATGTTTATTGCCTGTAGTCCCAGCTACTCTGTAGGCTAAGTCAGCAAGATCTCTTGAGCCTAGGATTTCAGAGTCATCCTGGCCTAGACACCATAATGGGATGGTCTCTGAAAACAAAAGACAAAAACCCTAGGTTCAGTACCCAAAAGGACAAATCTAGGTGTCAAGCACAATAGTGTGTCAATAGAGTGCTTCAGATTGAAGCAACAATGAAATACTATTATTCACCCATTAGAGTCATCAATTTGAAACACCAACAACTCCAAATGTTCATAGCATGTGGAATAACAGGAACTTTTCATTAATTGATATGAATGCAAAATGGAACAGCTACGTGGGAAGACAGTTTGGTAGTTTCCTATAAAACTACACATACCCTCACCACATATACAGTCATGTGTGCTCCTTGCTATTTTCCCAGGTGAGTTAAAAACTTAAGTCCACACAGAAGCCTGAATGCAGATGTTGACAGCAGCTGTATTCATAATTACTGAAACATAGAAGAACCCATGATGTCCTTCAGTAGGTAAATGATTAAATAAATTATAGTACAAGCTGGGTGCTATGGATGGTCTAGCCCTATATTCCAGCTACTTTGGAGGCTGAGGCAGGACAGTCACCAAGTTTAAGGCCAGCCTAGCTAATTTACCAAGGCTGGCTCAGAATTTAAAAATAGGGGCAGAGAACTAGCTCAATTTACAGCTCTGGATTCATTTAGCAGTACAGTGAATGAATGAACGAACAAACGAACAAGGAATCCAGACAAATAATATTCAGCACTTTAAAAAGACATGAATTATTAAGTGAAAGAACCCACTCCAAGAAGGTTACTGTCTTAGTTGATCCAGACTACTGTAAAAAAAAATACTCTAGCTTATAGAGCTTAATTTATTTCTTACAATTCTAGAGGCTGGGAAGTTTAAGATCAAGGTACTGAACATACAGTGGGGAGGGCCTGTTTTTTGTTCATAGTGTTGCCTTCTTGCTGTGTCCTCATATGATGAGAGGGACAAGAGAGTCCTCTGGGGACCTCTTTCCTAAAGGCAATAATCTCATAGTGACCTCCTCACCTCTCAGTGGCCCCATGTCCTGATAACCACACTGGCGAGATTAGATGTATGTCTTTTATTTGGGGTTTGAACTCAGGCCCTTACACATCTAATAAGCACAAGCTCTACCACTGAGCTACTCCCACCCTTCATGATTAGGATTTAATGGATGAATTTGGGGAGGACACAAACATTCAGATTATACCAGCTGCACAGTGTATGATCCCAGTTATCCTGTATAACTACACATAACCTATATAATATTTAATACCAGGGGTGAACCTCATCTTAAGCCGTGGACTTCAGGTGATGATGTGTTGGTATAGGCTCATGAATTATAGCAAATTTACCCATTTGATGAAGGTTGTTGATAGTGGGAGAACCTGTGCATGGGGGGACAGGGTATATGGGTTATTTCTGCACTTCCCTCTCAGTTTTACTGTGAACCTAAAGTTGTCCTAAAAAATAAGCCAGTTTTTTAAGAAAGCATAAAGATGTCAGGACTTAATCTCAAGCCTTTCCATAGCTTAACAGATATCTTGCTCTAGAAATACTGGCTGATTTATGGGTTGCCCTACAGGTGACGGGTCTTCAATTGATGTACCACTTGAAATAAACTAACTGTCCTGTGAACAATTAGAACAGTCCTATCTTAGCTGCAGATGTATGAATCACAGTGTGTTCGTTTTCTTCTCTGTTTCCTTCCAGGACAACCCTCCATATGATAAGGGGGCCTTTAGAATCGAAATCAACTTTCCAGCAGAGTACCCATTCAAACCACCGAAGATCACATTTAAAACAAAGATCTATCACCCAAACATTGATGAAAAAGGACAGGTTTGCCTGCCAGTAATTAGTGCTGAGAACTGGAAGCCAGCAACAAAGACCGACCAAGGTAAGGCACTCCTCTGTCAGAGTCTAGAGAAGAGAAATCCTACCTTACCAACTGAAGTTTATACCAAAGTGCTGCTGAGGTCCCACCATCCTGTGGGGATGGCTAGTCCCATTTGAAATATTGACCTATACAGGTACGGAGGAGGCCCTCCCTTGGTTGTTTATACCCCAGTGGGACAAAGACAAGCCCAGAAGTTTGCTGCATGTTGGGGCACTGGTCCCTAAAAGTGGTGAAGGATTGTTGAGCTGCCTCAGAGGGGAACTTAAAGTAGACTTACACAGCACTTGGTACCTGAACTTACACTTGAAAGAAGGGAGGATGGTGAGGGCCTTCCAGCCCAATAGTGGCTCACAGTGGCTGGTTTGAGGGGAAGGAACAAGATCAGTCTTGAGAGAAGCGCTTCCAAATATAACATATAGTTGGCTATAGTGGGCCTAGAACTCCCTGGAATTGGTTGTGGTGTGTGTGTCCATGTGTCTGGGTGAACACACAGATGTGTGTTTTTCTGGGAAAAGTGTTTGATTCAGTATCGATTGCCCTCCCTCTTGTCCCATGGAAGGAGCAAGACTGTCTTGCAGGTTGTATCTAGTTTTTATTAATTTCAGACTTTATTTTGAAATTCTAACCTCACGTTTTAGGAGGCTTTCAGTAAAAAGTAACTGAATTACCCTCTAAACGGCTACTAATCAGATTGAAAAATACTGTAATAATGGAGAGGGTACAAAAAGAGCTTTCTAAATTATATACACAAATGTAATGCATTAAAATAAGTGTTTCTATAAATATGTATATTTTTAAAAGTAACTGCCTCAATGTAAGATCTGTTTAAATTGCAGAGAATGGATGAAACGTATTGGCAAGGCTGCGGGTAGAGCTTTTCAATTACTAAAGTAGTCATTTTTTGGATGAAACCCTGGAAGGTGGAAATTGAAACCCTTTCACAAGAAAAAAATCAAGTCTTACTCCTTGGAAGTAATCAACCATGAAAGGCATCACTGGGCTCAGACAGCTGAGTAGTTGACAGTGCTGATGTTCAATGAGAGAAAAGTCTCCAGTGGGCTTGGCCCTTGTGTAGAAACTGAGGTTTATAACAGCTTGACACCATTCTCTTTGCACATGGCCTGATTTTTTTCTACTCAGGAATTTACTTCTCTGTCACACCTATGGCGACATTTGTTCAGCAGTGTCTTGTTGGTCCTCATTCCCAGGGACTTTGCTGAGTTGTGTCTCTGTTCAACCACCATGTCTGGGAAGAAGTCCTTCTAAGCCAGGCTGCCCAGGAAAGCAGTGCACCTCTCACTGTGGCTACAGAGTCCAGCGTCTCCTCTGAGGTTGTAGGAGCCAGGGCTAGGGAGGCTCATAGGAAATGGTTATAAGCACTTCTCCACGTCATGTGGGAGCTGCCTGCCTAAGAGGACCATGCAGTGTTATTCCTATATTAGCTTCAGATCTAAGTGCATAGCCCACATCCTCCACTTTTTCAAGTTGGGACTGCCCTACACACACACACACACACACACACACACACACACACACACACAC